AGTGGTGAGGTCCAGTGTGAGGTCCAGTGTGAGGTCCAGTGTGGAGGTCCAGTGGGAGGTCCAGTGTGAGGTCCAGTGTGGGGGTCCAGTGGGTAGGAGGTCCAGTGGAGTGGGAGGTCAGTGTGAGGTCCAGTGTGAGGTTCAGTGCGAGGTCCAGTGGGAGGTCCAGTGTGGAGGTCAGTGAGGAGGTCCAGTGGAGTCTCAGAGTGTGAGGTCCAGTGTGGAGGAGGTCCAGTGGGAGGTCCAGTGGGAGGTCCAGTGAGAGGTCCAGTGAGTCCAGTCCAGTGGAGGTCCAGTGTGAGGGTCCAGTGGGAGGTCCAGTGGAGGTCCAGTGTGAGGTCAGTGGGAGGTCCAGTGTGAGGTCCAGTGTGAGGTCCAGTGTGAGGTCCAGTGAGGAGGTGAGGTCCAGTGGGAGGTCCAGTGGGAGGTCCAGTGGAGGTCCAGGGAGGTCAGGGTGAGGTCCAGTGGGAGTCCAGAGGGAGGTCCAGAGGGAGGTCCAGTGTGGGGTCCAGTGGGAGGTCCAGTGGGAGGTCCAGTGGGAGGTCCAGTGGGAGTCCAGGGAGGTCCAGTGAGGTCCAGTGTGGAGAGTCCAGTGGGAGGTCCAGTGTGAGGTCCAGTGAGGAGTGTGAGGTCCAGTGTGAGGTCCAGTGAGGTCCAGTGGGAGGTCCAGTAGGAGGTCCAGAGTGGGAGGTCCAGTGTGAGGTCCAGTGTGAGGTCAGTGGAGGGGTCCAGTGGAGGAGGTCCAGTGGGAGGTCCAGTGGAGGTCCAGGGGAGGTTCAGGGTCCAGTGTGAGAGGTCCAGTGAGAGGTCCAGTGTGAGGTCCAGTGTGAGGCTCCAGTGAGGTCCAGTGAGGTCCAGGGGAAGTAGGAGGTCCAGTGGAGGTCCAGTGTGTCCAGTGAGGTCCAGTGTGAGGTCCAGTGTGAGGTCCAGTGTGGGAGGTCTAGTGGAGTCCAGTGGGTCCAGTGTGAGGTCCAGTGTGAGGTCCAGTGTGAGGTCCAGTGGGAGGTCCAGTGTGAGGTCAAGTGGGAGGTCCAGTGGGAGGTCCAGTGGGAGGTCCAGTGGGAGGTGTGGAGTCCAGTGTGAGGTCCAGTGGGAGGTCAGTGGGAGGTCCAGTGGGAGGTCCAGTGTGAGGTCCAGTGGGAGGTCCAGTGGGAGGTCCAGTGGGAGGTCCAGTGGGAGGTCTAGTGTGAGGTCTAGTGGGAGGTCCAGTGGGAGGTCCAGTGGGAGGTCCAGTGGGAGGTCCAGTGGGAGGTCCAGTGTGAGAGGTCCAGTGGGAGGAGGAGGTCCAGTGGAGGTCCAGTGTGAGGTCCAGTGGGAGGTCCAGTGAGGTCAGTGGGAGGTCCAGTGGAGGTCCAGTGGGAGGTGGAGGTCAGAGGTCCAGTGTGAGGTCCAGTGTGAGGTCCAGTGTGAGGTCCAGTGGGAGGGTCAGTGTGTCCAGAGGGTCCAGTGGAGGTCAGTCAAGTGTGGGGTCAGTGGGAGGTCCAGTGGGAGGTCCAGTGTGGAGGTCCAGTGGAGGGTCAAGTGGGAGGTCTGTGAGGTCCAGTGAGGGTCAGTGGGAGGTCAGTGGGAGGTCCAGTGTGAGGTCCAGGAGGTGTGAGGAGGTCCAGTGGGAGGTCCAGTGGAGGTCCAGTGGGAGGTCCAGTGGGAGGTCAGTGAGGTCCAGGTCCAGTGTGAGGTCCAGGGAGGTCCAGTGGGAGGTCAGAGTGTGGGAGGTCCAGTGAGAGGTCAGAGTGGAGGTCCAGTGTGAGGTCCAGTGTGAGGTCAGAGTGTGGAGGTCCAGTGAGGTCAGTGGGAGGTCCAGTGGGAGGTCCAGTGTAGGAGGTCAGAAGTGAGGTCCAGTGGGAGGTCCAGTTGGAGGTCCAGTGGGAGGTCCAGTGGGAGGTCCAGTGGAGGTCCAGTGTGGGAGGTCCAGTGGGAGGTCAGTGGGAGGTCCAGTGGGAGGTCCAGTGTGAGGTCCAGTGTGAGGTCCAGTGTGAGGTCCAGTGGGAGGTCCAGTGGGAGGTCCAGTGGGAGGTCAGTGTGAGGTCCAGTGGGAGGTCCCAGTGGGAGGGTCAGTGGGAGGTCCAGAGTGGGAGGTCCAGTGTGAGGTCCAGTGGAGGTCCAGTGGGAGGTCCAGTGGGAGGTCCAGTGTGAGGTCCAGTGGGAGGTCCAGAGGTCAGTGGAGGTCAGTGGGAGGTCCAGTGTGGGAGGTCCAGTGGGAGGTCCAGTGGAGGAGGTCTCAGTGTGAGGTCCAGCTGGAGGTCCAGTGGGAGGTCAGTGTGAGGTCCAGTGGAGGTCTCAGTGAGGTCCAGTGGGAGGTCCAGTGGGAGGTCCAGTGAGTCCAGGAGGTCCAGTGTGAGTGTCCAGAGGAGGTCCAGTACCCAGGAGGTCAGTGGGAGGGTCCAGTGTGAGGTCCAGTGTGGAGGTCCAGTGGGAGGTCAGTGGGAGGTCCAGTGGAGGTCCAGGGAGGTCCAGTGGGAGGTCCAGTGTGGAGGTCCAGTGAGGTCCAGTGTGAGGTCAAGTGTCCAGGAGGTCCAGTGTGAGGTCCAGTAAGGTCCAGTGAGAGGTCAGAGTGGGAGGTCAGTGGGAGTCCAGGAGGTCCAGTGTGAGAGGGTCCAGTGAGAGTGGAGTCCAGTGGAGGTCCAGAGGTCCAGTGGGAGGTCCAGTGTGAGGTCCAGTGGGAGGTCCAGTGGGAGGTCCAGTGGGAGGTCCAGTGGGAGGTCAGAGGGAGGTCAGTGTGAGGTCCAGTGTGAGGTCCAGTGGGAGGTCAGTGGGAGGTCCAGTGTGAGGTCCAGTGAGAGGAGGTGAGGTGGGAGGTCCAGTGTGAGGTCCAGTGTGAGGTCCAGTGGGAGGTCAGAGGAGGTCCAGTGGAGGTCCAGTGTGAGGGTCAGTGTGAGGTCCAGTGAGGAGGTCCAGTGGGAGGTCAGTGGGAGGAGGTCCAGTGGGAGGTCAGTGGGAGGTCCAGTGGGAGGTCCAGTGGGAGGTCCAGTGAGGAGGTCCAGTGAGAGGTCCAGTGAGGAGGTCCAGTGTGAGGTCCAGTGGGAGGTCCAGTGTGGAGGTCCAGTGGGAGGTCCAGTGGGAGGTCCAGTGTGGAGGTCCAGTGTGAGGTCCAGTGGGAGGTCCAGTGGGAGAGGTCCAGTGGGAGGTCCAGTGGGAGGGTCAGTGTGAGGTCAAGAGTGGGAGGTCCAGTGTGAGGGGTCCAGTGGGAGGTCCAGTGGGAGGTCCAGTGGGAGGTCCAGTGGGAGGTCCAGTGGAAGTCAGGAGGTCAGTGGGAGGTCCAGTGTGGAGGTCCAGTGGGAGGTCCAGTGGAGGTCCAGTGGGAGGTCCAGTGGGAGGTCCAGTGGGAGGTCCAGTGGGAGGTCCAGTGGAGGTCAGTGGGAGGTCCAGTGTGAGGTCCAGTGTGGAGGTCCAGTGTGAGAGTGTGAGGTCCAGGAGGTCCAGTGGGAGGTCTAGTGGGAGGTCTAGGAGTGAGGAGGTCCAGTGGGAGGTCCAGTGTGAGGTCCAGTGGGAGGTCCAGTGTGAGGTCCAGTGGGAGGTCCAGTGGGAGGTCCAGTGTGAGGTCAGAGTGGGAGTCCAGTGTGAGGAGGTCAGTGGGAGGTCCAGTGGGAGGTCCAGTGAGTGGGAGAGAGGTCAGGTCCAGGAGGTCCAGTGTGGGAGGTCCAGTGAGGAGGTCTAGTGTGGGAGGTCCAGTGGGAGGTCCAGTGTGAGGGTCCAGTGGGAGGTCCAGTGTGAGGTCCAGTGGGAGGTCCAGTGGGAGGTCCAGGTCAGTGGAGGTCCAGTGTGAGGTCAGTGGGAGGTCCAAGTGGGAGGTCCAGTGGGAGGTCCAGTGGGAGGTCCAGTGGGAGGTCCAGTGTGAGGTCCAGTGGGAGGTCCAGTGGGAGGTCCAGTGTGAGGTCCAGTGTGAGGTCCAGTGGGAGGTCCAGTGGAGGTCCAGTGTGAGGTCCAGTGGAAGTCCAGTGCAGAGGTCGGTGGGAGGGTCCAGTGGGAGGTCCAGTGGTGAGGTCCAGTGGGAGGTCCAGTAGGAGGTCCAGTGGGAGGTCCAGTGGGAGGTCCAGTGGAGGTCCAGTGTGAGGTCCAGTGTGGAGGTCAAGTGTGGGAGGTCCAGTGGGAGGTCCAGTGGAGGTCAAGTGGGAGGTCCAGTCCAGTGGAGGTCCAGTGTGAGGTCCAGTGGAGGTCCACAGTGGGAGGTCCAGTGGGAGGTCCAGTGGGAGGTCCAGTCCAGGGAGGTCCAGTGAGGAGGTCCAGTGTGAGGTCCAGTGTGAGGTCCAGTGGTCCAGTGTGGAGGTCCAGTGGAGGTCCAGTGGGAGGTCCAGTGTGTCCAGTGGAGGTCCAGTGGGAGGTCCAGTGGGAGGTCCAGTGAGGTCCAGTGGGAGGTCCAGTGGGAGGTCCAGTGGGAGGTCCAGTGGGAGGTCCAGTGGGAGGTCAGTGTGAGGTCCCAGTGTGGGGGTCCAGTGGGAGGTCCAGTGGGAGGTCCAGTGGAGGTGTGTGGAGGTCCAGTGGGAGGTCCAGTGGGAGGTCAGTGGAGGTCCAGTCCAGTGTGAGGTCCAGTGGAGGTCCAGTGGGAGGTCCAGTGGGAGGTCCAGTGGGAGGTCCAGTGGGAGGTCCAGTGGGAGGTCCAGTGTGAGGTCCAGTGTGAGGTCCAGTGGGAGGTCCAGTGGGAGGTCTAGTGTGAGGTCCAGTGGGAGGTGGGCAGTGGGAGAAGTCCAGTAAGAGGTCCAGTAGTGTTGGTCGTCGCGCCGAAGGTCCAGTGTGAGGTCCAGAGGTCAAGTGTGAGGTCCATTAGAGTCCGAGGCCGTGATATTGCAGTAAGAGGTCCAGTAAAACGTCAGTGCGAGGTCCAGTGTGAGAGTCCAGTGGGAGGTCCAGTGTGTGCACTAGTGTGAGGTCCAGTGGGAGGTCCACTGGGAGGTCCAGTGCGAGGTCCAGTGCTTTTAATATTCTCTGCATGACACTCCATGTTAGGTGGAGGTTACGGATGTTGAAACCGAAAACACCTAACATATTTTACGAAAACACAGAAATTCAAAAGGCAAGCGTTTATAAACAACCAAACTATTGACATGTCTATGTTTCTAAATATATTGCCGAGTATATAGTCTAATGTTTGGGAATTATAGCATATAACGTACAGGTTTCAAATCTTGAGTTCACTGACTTAAAGTGGGTGGCCTAATGTCACTCTGCTCTTGTTAAAGTTGTTAATTACAAAGTTGAGAAGTGGTCATCAGTTGACTTTCCTTCACTTATATACATTTATATACAACCGTTACGAAACCCCCAAACACGGGTACGATGCTGAAAGCAACTGGATCATTATCTGAGTGAACTGACTGGGGTTCGAACAAAAGATACCAGAATCCTAATACAGTAAGGGGCGCAACTCAGCACCGTACATTAATACAAAGTTATGCAGATAAAGGAAGGTGATGATTAAGATTAAACAGGTTTGAGCCAATGGCGCCAGGATTACGCCAGTACGTACAGTATCATGTGTTAAACTCAATGGTATTAAGAAGCAAAGCAAGGGTTGCAGAGACCGCCAACAGAAACACTATCTCTGGACCCATGTCCTTCATTACTATCTAATGCGGTACACGTTCCTACAGAAACACTATCTCTGGACCCATGTCCTTCATTGCTACCTAATGCGGTACACGTTCCTACAGAAACACTATCTCTGGACCTATGTCCTTCATTGCTATCTAATGCTGTACACGTTCCTACAGAAACACTATCTCTGGACCCATGTCCTTCATTGCTATCTAATGCTGTACACGTTCCTACAGAAACACTATCTCTGGACCCATGTCCTTCATTGCTATCTAATGCGGTACACGTTCCTACAGAAACACTATCTCTGGACCCATGTCCTTCATTGCTATCTAATGCTGTACACGTTCCTACAGAATTACTATCTCTGGACCCATGTCCTTCATTGCTATCTAATGCTGTACACGTTCCTACAGAAACACTATCTCTGGACCCATGTCCTTCATTACTATCTAATGCTGTACACGTTCCTACAGAAACACTATCTCTGGTCCCATGTCCTTCACATTTATTTCATGATATATCTTGTCCGACATCTGACAGGTGTCCAGTGTGTCCATCTTAGTCTCCTGTTGATAGTCCAGCTCTCCATCATTGGGACAGCCCGGCTCTCCATCATGGGGACTTTCTCTGAAGAAACGAAGAACATTTGGAGTTCAGATTCACTGTTTTGAGCCTGCACCGCCATTCTAGTCAACATTTAATTCTTACACTTCTAAATATTTACATTTGAATAAACTGCCCAGCCTAAATGTGTGAGACACACTAGAGGATTCAGTCTAGCAGTTATAACATAGAACATGTTACGACACAAACATGCATTTGGTCCCTGGAATGTTACAGTGAAATGTCCAATGTACCGTGTGTAACAAACATCCGATAGCATGATTTTACCTACGTAAAAAAGTCTATATGTGACTAGTACATATGCTTGCTATACAATCAATAAAGTATAACGCCATGGATATATACTGTAGCTACACCCGGAGGATATACCTATAGATAGACAGTAGCTCTATAACATGGAAGCCCCAACGTCATAAATATGTATAATCTTCAAACAAACGTAGGGGAACAAACACACACACACACACACACACACACACACACACACACACACACACACACACACACACACACACACACACACACACACACACACACGGTTTTGCTGCTGTGTTCAGAAAAATGAACAAGTGAACGATTGCCATTCATGCCGGCAATTTATGCCTGAATGCATGCATGATCCACGTGCATCTGGATTTTCACCGTTCGACAAACAAATACATTTCAAACTTCAATCTCCAACAATACTTTATTGGGCAATACAGACCATATGACCACGATTCATGTTTTCCTCAAACCTGACTTTCGGTGTATAGTTTTTAAAAAGTAGGTTCAAATACTCCATTCATACTTAAATGTCATTTCCAATATTACGACGTTTCCTTTGCCCTCCAGTATATATAGCTATACCGTCAATAATACACATAATAGCTACATCACCAGCAAGTATAGCATCATGGATACAAGCAGTTTCTGCATAACCCGGAAGCTATACCGTCAATTATACACATAATAGCTACATCACCAGCAAATGTAGCGTCATGGATACAAGCAGTTTCTGCATAATACGGAAGCTATACCGTCAATAATACACATAATAGCTACATCACTAGCAAATGTAGCGCCATGGATACAAGCAGTTTCTGCATAATACGGAAGCTATACCGTCAATATACACATAGTAGCTACATCACCAGCAAATGTAGCGCCATGGATACAAGCAGTTTCTGCATAACCCATAAGCTATACCGTCAATTATACACATAGTAGCTACATCACCAGCAAATGTAGCGTCATGAATACAAGCAGTTTCTGCATAATACGGAAGCTATACCGTCAATTATACACATAATAGCTACATCACTAGCAAATGTAGCGTCATGGATACAAGCAGTTTCTGCATAATACGGAAGCTATACCGTCAATATACACATAGTAGCTACATCACCAGCAAATGTAGCGCCATGGATACAAGCAGTTTCTGCATAACCCATAAGCTATACCGTCAATTATACACATAGTAGCTACATCACCAGCAAATGTAGCGTCATGGATACAAGGAGTTTCTGCATAACTCGGAAGCTATACCGTCAATTATACACATAGTAGCTACATCACCAGCAAATGTAGCGTCATACATACAAGCAGTTTCTGCATAATACGGAAGCTACACCGTCAATGATACACATAGTAGCTACATCACCAGCAATTATAGCGTCATCAATTCATACAGCTTCTGCAAAATCCAGAAGCTATACCGTTAGATGACACACACAGTAGCTACATTACCAGAAATTAGAGCGTCATCAATACATACAGTTTCTGCACAACCCGGAAGCTATACTGTCAATAATATACACGGTAGCTATTAGCTATAGGTCTGCATGATACAACTGTACTACTTCCGGGTCTGTCCACCCCATGTGTCAGTGTCTGTTTGAGAGCGGATACTACGGTATCATTCAGGGGCATCTGATTTGGTTAAGAATATATCAACTGTTGAGTCCCCTCACCTTTGCATCCTTGCCATGCCCACACGTCTACGGCAACACATCACCGCCACCAGAATGGCACCAACAACCCCAAACAGTATCGAGGTCGCCAGGGTGACTATTTGTATACGGCGTAAGGCCTCTGTAAGTATAAGAACATACTCAGATTCGTGTTTTATATAACATAGTTAAGCAATAAACTGAACTGATTACAGATTTGGACCACTGGTAAACCAAGAAGCATTACATTGCTGTAGTTACCATGGTTACACTGTTCCAGTCTCTGGCATTCCTCCATGGAGCAGTTGGATGTGCAGGTTGAGTCACATCTTCGTCCGGTCAGGTGGCAGCCTTTGGAGCAGACGCCAGTCTTCTGATCGCAGACACCACCAAGACACACGTTACACGTGAGATGACAGCGTTCTCCATAGAAGCCACGTGCACACCCATCTGTACACGACCCGGTGTCTGACTGACACTTCGAGTTTCTACAGTTAGAACTACACAGAGAAGAGCACTGTCGGCCATACCATCCCTCGTCACACCCGTGGATACAGTCCCCACTGTCTCTGTGACAGTCACGTACTCCAGTGTTTGGCGCCAGTAGAGGTTTGTCAGTAGAGATGTTGGGATCTGGTCCACACTTATCACTGCACGTCTTGTCACAGAACGTGCCATACAATCCAGGAAGACAACCCCGTGTGCACCCATGTTCACAGGATCCCAGGCAGTGATCACAGGAATACCCACAGTTTGGACCAAAGTATTCACGGTCACACTCTTTGCCTGATCCTGTCATCCTGTTGCAGGACTTACATCGACTGGAGCACGACTTACAGTCAATCCCGCAGTAGGACTCTACACATCCAGACACACAGGATGAGCCCAGCTGACAATATCCAACATCACAACCACCTGGACATGCTGTACAGCTACCTCCTGGACTGTCACATGGTATGTTGCACTCTGGGCCGTGATATCCGGGGACACACCCATCAGTACAATCACCTATACCAGAGGCTGACAACCGACATGAGTGGTTTCTGCAGGTCCTGCTGCACGCTGACGTGCATGTCCGATCAAAATACCCGGTGTCACAGTCTGTGAGGCAATGTCCACTGGTTTTGTTACAGTCTGAACAGTGCTGGTTGTTCTTGCACTGTTCGCCTGAAAATGACCAAAAATGAAATTATTTCTTTATATCGACATGTAAGCATATATTTACGTGTAAGCAATGCTTGTAATAATCCTTATGTACTATGTGCCCCATTATCTAACCGTCTACATGGATATAGAACATTCTTGGTAACACGGCAAATATGACGCATTGAGATCAGATGGTGTTGTATATGACAATCCGAATTAGTTGAATCTGAATATATTGTGGTGTTTTACCTTCAGTGGAAATAACCAAAGATGCAATCCACAGAATCAGCAATACACTCATGATTATCCTGAAAAGAAATATAACAGTAAACAACCCTACATAGAATCGCAGATACATTTGTCGGAGGGTGTCAATAAAGAACACAATGGTTTCAGCTTATTGCTAATCTCATTGTTTAGCGTTCACATTATTCATTTCTTTTATCCTGAGCAGGGGGACACACAGCTACAAGAATTTTATCTAAATAGAAGACAGTATTTGTGTGCCTGCCCTGTATGGTGCTCGGTATTAAATAGGTACGGTAATTCAGATAGGCTCGGTGATGACTAAGTGTTATGGAGCTTAGACATACACACATAACACACACAAACATACACATACATACAAACACACACATATACACACATACAATCACACACATACACAAATACACACACATACGAACATACACACATACACAAACACACACTTATGTACACCCAAACAGATACACATACACATACATACACACACATACACAAACCACAAACACATACACATATACACACAAATACACACAAACACACACAGAAACATACAAACACACAGTCAGTAAACCACTCTTTAGCCACTTTCCTATAGTGTATGTATACTAAACCACAAAAGAAATGTCGCACCGATAGCGGTTTATTAAAGCACACATTTTAATCACTCTAATTAATAATCACAAAGGAGGACTGAGTTCAAACTTGATCATAATGGTTAACACATTTTCGGGAATAACATTGAGCGTTCACACAAACAAAATCACCAAAAATGGTACCATTAAGATACCCAAAGTCACTATTGTGTGGGGCCTCCATGGGCATCAATGAAAGCGCTGCATCGTCTGTACATGGAATGAATTAGCCGGTTGAATAAGGCCATGAGCACTTGGGTCCATACTCTGCAAAATGCTTGATCGAGTCCTGCCGCAGTTGTTGGCCTTGGTTGGAGGTCATTCAGTCTCGTCCCAAAGGTGTTCTATTGGACTTAAATCCGGACTAAGTGCAGGCTATTGTAGGGTTTGGATGCCATGTTGTCTTAGAAAGTCCAATGTTGCTCTGGCAGTGTGGACACGAGTGTTGTCTTGCTGGAATTTGTGATTTCTGCAACGTCCAAAATATGGTACAACGTAGGGTCTTATGACTTGGTCAATATAGCGAACAGCTGTCACGTCACTTCCTCATCCTGGACCGAGATTCTGGAACACCACAGTGTCAACTAACTGGTTCAGACCGATTGCACCCAGCACCATGATGCTTGGACCACCCCACCAACCACTTTCAATAATACACTCATTGGAAACAGTGTAACAAAGTCAAACCAGTGGACCATGTGGTCAGTGACAGCAGCGGTCAGGGACAGGGCGACAAACAAGTTGTTTACCCACCAAGTGATTTACCACCGAGTGACCACAGAATCACCGGGGAAGGGCTCTTGAAAGGGTTCTTGAGTATCCTCTTGAAACGCAGAGCAAGCAGGACGACAAAGGAGTTGTTTACCCACCGAGTGACCACAAGATAATCGGGGAGAAACGATGACTTAAGCCTGACCCCTTGTTGACTGGTCAAGGGCACATGAAGCAAACATAACCCAGGACTCTGAACCTTAAGTAGACACAGTCTCAGCAGCAGTCGAGGGCACACCTCCGCCAGCTTGGATGCGGGGACATCTCGTCTTATGCAGGGCTGGGGCGAGATGGGGATGGATTAGCAATCGAGAGGCAATTAGTTGGGTTCTTTACTGACTGGCATTTGACTATCTGAAAAAGAAGATAATGAAAGGGAGCCCCGCAAATTTGGCCACTGCTGTTACCTCAGCAACAAAACATTAGGGCCAGTTTCGAATTGGGAAATCAACTTCCACAGGGTACCGTAGGGTAGAATAACCGTAGAAAATCTTTCTCACAAGATAGGGGAGAATTTGCTCGCAGGAGAAAGGAAGCACACATGGACGTTCGCTATTTTAGGCCTGAACGTTGCTAAAGGTGTGACAGACAAGGGCATAAGGCTAGGCATTGTAGGCAGGGAGGCCATGTTAATGCGGTGGTGCATTAACGGTGGTGCATTAACATTCATTTGCTGGCTGTGCAACAAACCAGGGCACATGAAAATAGATTGCCCCCAGAGACGCAGGATTATTTTCGAGGAGAACTCTGTGCCGTACGGTACGATCAATAATTCTTCTTTTACAAACCCTCTGCCGGGCCCATCCATCAAGTAGTATAAGGTAGGCTCGTCGGCTTTCATTTTGTATATCTCTATATGCCGCTATGTCACGTTGACCTCGATGAAACAGTTTAATGTGAGGTAGTATAGGTAATGAGAGTCCTGGATCACTTCCAACAAAAGCCTCTGTAAAAGCCTTATTTCACAGACAGAGGCTTTGGTAGGACCAGTTCCAACAAAAGCCTCTGTAAAAGCCTTATTTCACAGACAGAGGCTTTGGTTGGATGCTACTATTACCCCTACTACGAACACCCCAATGAGTGAATTGTATCATCTATGCCGTGTTGACTGGAGGTAATACTGTATCATACGGTATGATTAATAATTCTTCTCTTACAAACCCTCTGCCCGGCCCATCCATTAAGTAGTACAAGTTAGGTTCGTCGGCTTTCATTTTGTATATCTCTATATGCCGCTATGTCACGTTGACCTCGATGAAACAGTTTAATGTGAATCGCCTAGGATCTCTTTGGTGTTCGTAATAAAAGCTTGCTGGGCTTTTTTCACCCCTTGTTCTATGTACTTTTTTTTCTCGTCCTCACTGATAGCAGCAGATTTACGAGACTTGGATCGAATCTCTTGTTTCATTTTATCATATTTTGCGAGTTCAGAGAGAATTGAACGAAACTCCTCCTCCGAGATCTTACTGTCAGTGAGTGCAGTGGAAATACGCTCACTCACCGTGTTAAGCTTTGCTTCAGCCAGAACCCTGATCTCATCATGCTTTAATGCCTTACGATGCAGTCTGCGTGATACAAGCTTAAGTATCAACCCTAACACCCCTGACACTCCAGCCGTTATTTCGAGTCCCATCACTATAGGTGCGGCCACGATGGTAGCTAACAACCCAACACCTGCCACCCCTAGTCCCATGCTGGTTGTCATAAGGGCAGTGTCAGCCCCGTCCACGGCATTGAAAGCTCTATGGTATTTCTTTTATAATGCTTTACGCTTGTCGCGGTCTTGTTCTAATTGACGTTTTACATCACATAACTGTCTCAAGCGAAACCCGTCTACAGTTTCTAAGGTCTTCGCTACTTCATCTATGCCTGGGTATAGTCCCATTCTGTGTGTCTATAATATATTTGATAAAATATTTTTTAATTGGGTAACTAGTGTTCTGGTACTAGTTCAGGGATATAGTCCAACCCCATAACGTATTTTAATTGGGTTTTATTTAACCTTCGATTAATGTACTTAAAGCCGATAATACTTAGATCAGCGTGCGTGTAAAAAAGCGGGGTCTTAGCTCTACGCCCATTAAAGAGACGAACCCCATCAAGACTTGGTACAGGGTCATTTCCCGATACTTTAATAATACGGCAACGTTGGTTACTAGCCTTGTCTTTCCACCGTATAATCATATCGTCTATAATGTTACGATGCCCAGGATACGAGGTATCTCCGAGATAAAGGTCTATGATGAATGTGAAGTTTTCCGCGACATTTCTAAAGACCTCTTGGTGATCGAGTAATTTTATCTCTGTCTTTACCTTCCCACTGGAAGCTAACATGTTGCCCGAGTGGTCTGGTATTGGTACGACTTGTACACTAGATTCCGGAACGAACGATCCTATAATCATGCCGTTGTTCCTTATCTCGGAGATAGTATTATTTTGTTTCAAGGAGATATAAGGTGCGGTGAGAGTTAAGTTGACTAACCATTCAGGCTCTTTAAAATCTGATAACGACACCCTCCTATACACGTTGTCTTTCAAGTGCAGGATGTACAAGTCGTCTTCCTCACCAGGTTGATCGAATCCCTCCGTGTCCCCTAGATTGTAAAGAGTAGTGTTGGGATGAAGCCAAGACATTGCTATAATACTATTACGATATAATTTCCAACTGGTTTTCTGATAATAGTTCCGGGGTGAAGTACACCCCCATAAAATGTATATTGTCGGGTAGGAATATCTTGGTTAGTGATATCGTGTCTTCCACGATCACGTTGACTCCCTGCAGACTGGTTTTTGAGTTGACACCCACCTGCACGTAAACGTTACAAACGTGATACTGTTGTTGTTTGGGGAGTTTGACCCCCTTGACGATCTCTACATCATTCCGCAATGGTTCTCCTAGGTATACTTGGATGACCAGTGTTGAGTTCGCCGGTATACTCTCCAGGATCTTGACCACGCCTTCGAATTCAGACACCAACTGCAATACAACGTTTTGCATGCTCGGTTTACTCGATAGCATGTGGGATGGCGTACTGGCGACTGGGCTGATGATTACGCTACGCCTCTGAGCGGGAACGTAAGCCACGAGCAGGGTTCCGTTGTTCACGACTTTGTTTAGGTAGTTGTCTTTATTATCCGTAAACACGTAGGGGGAGCCGAGCTTAATATTGAGAAGCCAGTCAGCTTTATCGGGTAATAACACCCACTTGTCATCATCAGTGAAGACGAGCGTATATGGTTTATTTTTGGTGATAGCCGTCACGTTGCTCTCAACATCGTCTAAGTCGAACAGTTTGCCTCCGAACGATGGGTATATTATCCAGTTATCATCGCCGGTGTTGACAAGGGTATACTTAGTGTTGACTGCCGTTCTTGTGGTATCTACTATATCACTTAGGTTGCTAGTACCACCGGAGGGAACTTCAACGCGTTTGTAAATGCTGTTTTTTAGTTGCAAGGCGTACAATTTACCATCTACTCCGGGGTCGTCGAATCCGCGTGTGTCTCCGAGGTCGGAGATCCCCACATTGATGCATTTTTTCAACTTCATTCCGGGACCTTGTGCGCTGGTCATTTTATGTGCAGTGTTACGCTAAGGTATCCTATATTCACGAGATTATGATTTATATCTAACACCG